AACTTAAAAAATCATCTTCTCTAAATTTACAAAGGCTAGAGTTAAGATATTTTGCATGAACATTGTGTAGTGAACCTCTAGCAAGATTGTACAAATTATAGCCCTGAGGTTAGAATTGACCCCACCCCAGGGGTCATTGATTTTCACTATGTACATATAGTAAAAAATTCAAAAAATTCTCTTGTCTGAAGGTACAAGGCTTAGAGCTTTGATATTTGGTATATAATATCATTTATGGGTCCTCTACTAAAGTTGTTTTAATCATGCCCCTATTGTAAAAATTGCCCAGCCCCAGAGGCAATAGTTTTCCTTATATGTATAAAGTAAAAACTTGAAAAATCTTCTTTTCTGAATTGACAAAGGCTAGAGGTTAAATATATGGCATGAGTTTTTGAAACTCTACCAAGATTGTTCAAATTATAGCCCTGGGGTCAAAATTGGTTCCGCCCGAGGGTCATTGATTTTCATTATGTACATATAGTGAAAAAAATAAAAAATATTTTTGTCTGAAGGTACAAGGCATAGAGCTTTGATGTTTGATATACATGTATATCGTTTTATATAGGTCCTCTACCAAAGTTAAATTTTTCCCCTGGTGTCAAAATTGGGCCTGCCCGGGGGCAGTGATTCTCATTATGTACACATAGTAAAAACAGAAGATAAAACAAATGTTTTCTGAATGGAAGAAAAGCTACAGCTTAGTATTTGATTTGAAATGTTGTTTGGTTGACCTGTATCAAGATTGTTTTGAATTAAACCCTTGGGTCAAAATTTTGCCTTGCCCAAGGGGACAGTGACCTACTTTCTTGTCCTTTGATGTACAGCAATGAAATTTTGACCATGTGCACAGTTTTAGTTGTAAAATTGAACTTTGATATCAGGTGACCTAGATTTTGATGATGTGACCTACTTTCTAGTCCTTTGATGTACAGCTATAAAATTTGAACCGTGCAGTGGCATAGCATTTTTCTCAAATGCAATCTTGTTATGGAATAGCACTACCGTGTCACATTGAAGGTTCCATGTTAATCACCGTATGTATGAACACATCTGCAGATATCTCTAAATTCATAATGTCACCATTTTTTGTGTTTAAATGTTGAATTCTGCATTAGATGGTGCTATGGAGCGTGGACGGTAACTTGCACTTTACAGTACCGTTCATGAACTGGCTCAATCAAACCGAGCCTGCAACATTTTTAGTCCCCTACCGGTTTACTGGAGGGGACTTTAGGTTTACCCTCCGTCCGTCTGTCTGTCAGTCCGTCAGTCCACAAAACTGGATCCCGCGATAACTTGAAAAGTACTGAAAATATTTTTATGAAACTTGATATATGAAGAACTGAAAATATTTTTATGAAACTTGATATATGGATAGATGGCAGTATGGAGATTATGCACGCCTTTTTTTTTCTTCCTATGTTGAAAATTCTGGTTGCTAAGGCAACAAATAGGCTGAAAATATGGCAAATTTTACACATAAACTGGATCCAGTGATAACGCAAAAAGTACTGGAAATATTTTTATGAAACTTAAAATATAGGTAGATGGCAGTCTGGAGATTATGCAAGTCTTTTTCTTTTCTTCCTATGTTGAAAATTCTGATTGCTATGGCAACAATTTAATAGACTGAAAATATGGCAAATTTTACACATAAACTGGATCCAGTGTTAACGCAAAAAGTAATAGAAATATTTTTATGAACTTGACATATGGGTAGATGGCAGTCTGGAGATTATGCACGTCTTTTTCTTTTCTTCCTATGTTGTAAATTCTGGTTGCTATGGCAACACATTAGACTGAAAATATGGCAAATTTTACACATAAACTGAAACCAGTGATAAAGTACTCAAAAAGTACTGGAAATATGTTTATGAAACTTGACATATGGGTAGATGGCACGGTCTGGAATTTATGCATGTCTTATCTGCTCTTCCTATTTTGAAAAAATATTGTTGTAAATTCTGGTTGCTTTGGCAACACATAGACTGAAAATATGGCAAATTTTACACATAAACTGAATCCAGTGATAACTCAAAAAGTACTGGAAATATTTTATGAAACTTGACATATGGGTAGATGGCAGTCTGGAGATAATGCATGTCTTATCTGTTCTTCCTATTTTGAAAAAATATTGGTTGCCTTGGCAACAAATAGGCTTAAAACATGGCAAATATAACAATATTTGTGATTAGTCAAAAAGAGCTGAAATTTTTTTATGAAATTGCATCTTTAATTCAAGAGTTATCTCCTCTTTAAAAATTTTGCTTTTAAAAATGTTTTATTTTGGTAACAGGGATGTTTCAAATATTAACTTTAGAGTGTCCTTCAGTCCGTCTGTCTGTTCATAAAAACTGTTTCCTGTGATCACTTTTAAAGAACTTTTCCAACAAATTTACTTAAAATAGAGAAAAATTGAAACATTAGTGAATGGCCAATGGCCCTTCAGAATGTTGATGGGGTTCTAACCGGTAGGGGACTTATGGATTGCTTGCAATACTATGATAATTGCTTGGATCAATTTTGTCGTTTTGTCGGGTTTTCTTTAGGGATTCTGTATTTCTCTATTTTATTGTCACATCCGTGTTATTTGTTCTGTGTGGCGGCTGTAAAAAGTCTCCCCGTACATTTAATCTGAATGATGTTATAGTTTCGATCCTTGAAGATCGTTCAACACAACATTATTGTTGTGTATACATGTTATGTGGTACTTTTAGTTTCTTCTATTTGGCCTTTTTCAACCTTGGTGGTTCCAGTATTCCTACTTGAATACTGTTTAATCACCCTTAGGATATGTTGCCTGCTTTTAAATTTGTCTTTTGACCTCTTGTCTGTGATAGGCAGGCTTCATAACCTCAGATCCCCTTTCAAAATTTCATTTTATTTAGTTCCGCCCATTGTTTTCTCGTTTAGGGCACACGCATTCTTTTACTTGGGGACAATACGCCACTTTTCATGGAATGGCACAACTGTGTCACATTGAAGGTTCTATGATAATCGCCGCATGAACACATCTGCCGATAATCGCCGCATGAACACATCTGCCGATGTCTCTTAATTAAAAATTTCACTTTTTTTTTGTGTTTAAATGTTGAATTCTGCTTAAGCCGGTGCTAGGGGACATGGACTGTAACTTGCACTTTCCAATTCAAATTTTACTTAGACAATTTATGAACATCAAGGTCAAATATTAAATTTGAATAATAATCTGTTAGTCAGTTATGTTTTCTAGGAGTAATCTTTACTGTGTTGTTTGTCTGGTGTTGGCTCATGTTTGTTATTTATTGATGGCATTCAAGTTAATACTTGGACAAAAGAACATATATATGTATAGAAATTTTGTCCAGAGCATATCTCCTCCACCAGGTTGGGATTCTAATGAAACTTCCTAGAAATGTTCACCACTATGAAAAGCAGTCTCACATGTATGAACCAGATCTCTAGGTTAAAAGTTAAGGTCACACTTAGAGTTCATTGAAAAATGCTTGTTCTGAGATGAACTTCTACATTCATCGGGGGATGTAACTTGGCACAAATGTTCACCATTGTGAGGCTTATTGCACACATAATCCAGGTCCCTACTAAAGTTTGACACATGTAATGTTGGTTAATATTTGCAAGGTCAAGGTCACTAGAGATGATAAAATATGTAGAGTCAGTGTACCCGGAGTCGTACACTTTTTTAAGGAAAAATAAGAAAATTATCTTATAGTTAAAAATTCTTCTTATAATTGATATTATTTTGAAAATTACATCCTTTGCCCATAAAAACTGATGACCAAAACGTTTCTATCTTAAGTAGGTCATACTTCTAGGCGCACTTGATTTTAAGCAACAGGTATGGGCCAAATATGATAAATAGTGGACTCGGTTCCGCACACAAGGCCATTTTTATACTGAAAGGTACATCTTAAACATGTTTTATAAATTATTTAACATCATAAGTCCAGATAAGTTATATTGTTTTGCAAATTTTCAGGAGTTCAAATAAATTTAAAGCACATTCTTACTACAGTATACAAACATTTATTTCCAAGCATAGTAGCACACAGGAAACATGTAACAGCAATTGAAATTACTTTTTTACCACTTGTAGATAGTAAACACAGACATAAAACATTATTATTGAAGGTTTTTTCATCTGTTTAGTTATGACTTGTTCGATTAAGAGTTTGGTATCATTTTAAACAAAAGATTCAAGGTGAAATGACTTGACGTTTGGTTATTGGGAGAAGTTAAATCATGTGCATATATTTCATAACTAACAGCAAATTTGCCAAAACAAAAGCATACATTTATTTTCAAATATATATTTTATAAATATCTTAACATTGAAATAGAAATTAGCATGGTTTAATTGCTGAAAAAGATTTTTTTATGTGTGACCTACACAGCCATGTACATGTATTTACATTTTCGTCTGCACTCTTTAGGGAAAGGCTGGGGTGCAAGATCCCAGATTATGTCATATCCTGCTGAAAACATGCCAGTTCAGTAAAACACAAATGAAAACTGAATAAAATCATTTGATTTTTAAAGAAAAAATGAAAAATGGGAAAGTGTGCGGGACCGGGTCCTGTGCGGAACCGGGTACACTGACTCTAGATATTTCAGAAAATGCCCAGAGCATATCTCCTATATGCATATCTATAATGCCCACATCACTGTCAAAAGCAGGCGTATTTTGCGTCAATGTTGCCCTAGTTACAGTGATAGATTTGCTGTCTGCTTGAATGCATATTTTTGTCCTACATACCTTTTTTTTTTAATTTGCCTCAGGAGACCTCTTGTTGCAAATTGGTAAAAAGACATTTGTGGCCCCTGGTTATTGGAACTCTCATTTTAGGAATTAAAGCTGTATGAAGTGTGTATTAATCACCTTCCTTGTTAGTTCTTGTTTACTGTATGCCAAGAGTATAGAATAAATTATTAACTTTGTAGTATAAGAAAGAACATCATCATAGAATTGTAACTATTCATATTCAATGGTGTAATTTCAGCTTACTTTGGAGTTTTAGCAGCAGCATTACAAGGTGGCCTTGACTTAGAGTGGGCTTTGAAAAGAGTTCAAGAGCTTGGCTTTGAGGTTAGTAAAGATGTTCGGCCAGACGTGTATAAGATGTACTGTGAATCTCTTAACACACGGAAAACAGATATGAAAGAAGAGTTGTGATACAGTAGTCAACATAATACTTACTATACAGCTTATACCAAATTTTAACATTTCAGTTTTGTTGTTTAACTCGACTTTTTTTTTTTGAAAAAAAAAAGTAGAGGTATTGTTATAGTCCTGGCGGCATTGCCATTGCCATAGCCGTCTGCAAACTTGTACCTGGATCATAACTTTTGAAGTTCTTGGTGTATTTATTCATACTTGGCCACAACAACCCTTGGGACAAGACCTTTTAGTAGACCAGACTAACCTTGACCTTCATCCATAAATGACTTTGACCTTCAAGGTCAAATGTCCAAATTTTGCTTGTTCTTGCTATTATTGGCTATAACTTTGTTATTATACCCCCACCACTTAATGTGGTGGGGGGCTATAATGGATTCGCTTTGTCGCGTCGGTCGGTCGGACCATCTCCATTATCGTGTCCGCTCTATAAACCCTATACCAATTGAAGGATTTTCTTCAAACTTGGCTCAAATGTTCACCTCAACGAGGTAATGTGCAGAACCCATGTTACTTTTGCCGGCTTAAGGTCAATGAATATATATAAACACACTTATGTATTATAGAAGAAAAAATTTAAATATATATATGCTACTTTAAATATATATTATGCTACTTTGGTACTTGGATATCTAGAGAAAACACTCTATGAAAGAATATCAACAATACACGGAAACGACTTTTCAAACTACATTAAAATGAACTGGAAGAGATTTTTGGATGATTGTTTTTTAATAGTCGGAAAAAATATCAACACAGATGATTTATTAAGAGAAATAAACAATTTACACCCCTGTATTCAATTTACGATGGAATAAAAGTGAAACGGGCATGCCATTTTTAGATGTATTAGTTATTGAAATCTGGAACACATATAACAACAGATATCTACAGTAAAACCGACGGACACATACAACTACCTCAACTTTAAATCGTGTCATCCGAAACATACAAAGTTAAACATTCCTTTCAACCTTGCGTCAAGAATCATAACTATAGTAAGAGGAGAAACACTGCAAGAAAAGCGCCTCTCAGAACTAACTACAAGACTTAAAAATCAGAATTACCCAGATGAAATTATTACATACGGAATATCTAAAGCCAAATTAAAAGGTCCATCAAAAACTGAAGAAAACATAACAGCTAACAACAAGTACAACGTTATCCCATGTGTAACAACATTTAATCCCAAAAATACCAATATTTCCCAAGCAATTCGATCTTGTGAGAATGTGTTACGAAAAAGTGAAAGGATGAACAGTGTTTTAGAAAAGAAGCGCTTTATAAACAGTAAAAGACAAGCAAAAAAATCTTCAAAAACATCTTAACCTCTTCAAAGTTCGACATGACAAATAATACTGTAACAACAGTTTCTAAGTGCAACAGAGTAGGTGTAAGACATGTCCTTCTCTAATAGAAGGAAATGAAATACAATTTTGTAACAGTAAGACATTTAAGATAAAACAAAGTATGAACTGTGTTTCAAAAAATGTGATATATTCAATAATTTGTGACAACTGTAAACAGTTTTATATTGGCCAAACAAAAAATGAATTATGTAAACGTATGACTTTACATAGGCAACAAACAAACACTGAAGAACTCAGAATGTTACAAGTAAATAAACATTTACATAATTGTTCAGGAGGTAAATTTAGCATTTTCCCTCTATATAAGATATTAAATCGAAAGTGACAATTTTAGAGAAGAAAAAGAAAAACTTTTAATCAAGTTATTAAAACCACAGCTAAAATGCTCATTGGTAATAATCGTTTAACAAGGTATATATATATATAAGTACATCATATTATTACAATCTCTTCATTTTTAATTATGAAAGAAACGCTTGCGATTTTATTCAATCCAATTGTCCGTTTATTTACCAATATTTATTGAGTAAAAAATTGTTAATTACCATACAATTTGTGGCCATAAAATCATTAACTTGTGAATTTTATTACCTCCCTTTAATAAATGTCATTAATTCACTGCCAGATTGTACGGATTATGCTCAATGTCCGTAATATTATAATTTTTCAGTATAAATAACCATATTGTGTTTGCCGGGAATTAAATTATTCATTTAACGTTCCCGCTTTTTTCATGACGTTACGTCATTTGTTTATATTTTATTGTTTATTAAAGTTTCGGCTGAAGATATGCGAAGAAAGCATTGAAAGCGCTAACCGAATTTACATAGAGTTTGTTATTTCTTAAACATTATAATTTTATCTATATATATATATATATATATATATATATATATATATATATATATTGCATTATATATATATGAAAGAAAGAAAGTCATGAGCGAGAAATTAGACATAGAAAAATCGCACGAAAAATCGGCGTGCCGATTTTTCTATATATATATTTATATATATATATATGTTTTTTTTTCTTCTTAATTTTGATAACATTGACATTTATTTATGGAAATGATTCATACTTTGACAAAACAAGTGTGACAAGACAGACCTATTCAAGTTATAAACAGGAAACGTTAAAAATTTTTCAAACGTTTCTTTGTTTGCTTTTAGAAAAAATAAAAAGGTCGAGCGTTGCCCCCGCCCGATGGTGGCTCTTGATATTTTTATAGAATTTTGTTAAAAGATAATAGAGAGAATCTTTTTATAATTCATGAAAATAAATGGTATTTCTTTAGAAGTAATACTGATTAGAATTTGGGTACTATAATATGATGTACATTTGTATTGTTGTGTTGAAAGAAAATGTTAACTTTTACTACAAAAGTCTCATACAAAATTTAAAATGATAATCTGCACAATTATTGATGCATGTAACTATAATCTTAAACTGATAATTACCTTGAAGCTTACAGAAAAAAGGAGATAGAGTTGAGTTGATACCACTTTGTGTAGGTTAAAAGGCTCAACAAGCCCAAGAAATACTTTTATTTTTCAAAATCTTTATATTTTTTGTGTCCGGTTATAGTTTACAAAAAGATATTCCATTGCGGAACCATTTTTTGCTTTCATTACTTTTTGGGGAATAGTACAGTTTTAGTGATTGAGTCTGGAGGTCAAAGTATTACTTTATTTACATTTTTGCTACTCTTATGGAAAATTACTTCACATCCATGCCGTTTTTGCAGGTAATAAACATTAACATACTCTATAACTATCATGTAAACCTTGTAAAACTTGTTTTTGACCTTTCTTGAAGAGAAAAAAACTATAATCTGAGGCATAGGTTAAGAGCCACACTGTTGTCAAAAATTGATATTGCAATTAACTTGCAATCTTTGATACATGTTGTTAGCAATAAATATTTCAAGAACAATTTGCTTAAAATTTTGTGAAACTTTGTAACAGCTTTCAGTGGAAGACTTTAACCATTACTTGATGTGTTTCATAAAGTAAATTATGTTGGGAATGAATATCATTTCATTGTATCTTTCTTTGCATGGATGAAATCACAATTTCAGGATTTTCAGACTACTGAAATATAAAACTTTGTAAAAAAAAAGTTTATGAAATATAAAGTACCGGTATGTTTAAATTTGTAAACAAAAGAGGAAATGTAACAAGTCACTGTTAATATTTGAATATATCTATAAAAGTTACCATACATTATATCATTTATTTGATAAAAATGAAATCTCTGTTACTGATTTTATAATCTTCGAAATACGTCCTGTTTCTAAGGTATCATTCTGTGCGAAAGTCAGTCCGTCCTCGGTCCTGGCTGAATAAAAATCATGCGGTCCGAGAAAAATTCCTTTCCGTCAGTCCTCATGTCCGAATAAAATTTCAAAAAGTTAAAAATATCAATGACCTGATTGATAACAAGTTCCCGGTGATGCAAAGAATTTATTAAAGAAGATATTGACCAACCGTAGAACTATTTTGTACCTGTCAAATAAATACCAGTCAACTCTGTCTTCAAAAAGTTTCATCAACAACGGTAAATTTTGCCGTAAATTACAGATTTGAAAATTTTGTTGAAATAGCCGATGGGTAAAAATCTTAAAATAATCAAAAAATTGTTTAATCTAATATAATCAAAACCAACAACAAGTAGAATTGTGAATGTTTCTGCTGGAAACAGACAAATTTTCAATTGTCACATATTTTCGCGATGCCGCTTTTTTATAATTAAAAAAATCGTAACCAAAAGGAAACATTGTTTTGTTAAAATGTGTGTAATAACACTTAAATGTAGTTTAAGAATTAAAATTACTAAAGATATTGTTCACATTAGTTGAGATGGGGGTATTTACCAGTATGTGTTTGTCATATACAATGAATATTTTCTTATGGGAGGGGCGTGTGTTGAGTGAATCTGGAAGAAAACAACATTATGGTCTGATGATGTAGAGTTTTTGAAATTATATTTTAAATCTTTTCAATCAATTTTATGGTACAGTGTATTTCATTTGGGACATACTACCATTTTCCTGAATAAGCTTTTCCTCTGTTCAAACTCTGACTCTCCAAACCCTAGCTTATTTATACTCTGCTAATATACATCATATTCGTCAACTGCATAAGTGCAGCAAAGATGGCTTAACATATTCAACGTGCTCTGTGCTCCTACTTTTCTGTGCTTGGGAGTCCAAGGACTCCTCCTTTGAAAATCCTAGTGAGAACCCTGCTTAAGTTATTTCAATTGGTCAGCATCTTCTTATTTTTCTATATTGATGGTCTCACTAATTTAAAGAAAGACAATCATTTTTACATTCAACCGATTTATTATAAAATAATGCTTGAAATGTCTGGGCCGGAAAAATATCATCCGGGCAGGAAATAAACCTAAGGGTCTCGTCCTTGTGGCCTGAAAAAAAATTGACTTTCGCATGCATTAGACTGAGGTATCATTCTTTTTAGCTCACCTGTCACAAAGTGACATGGTGAGCTTTTGTGATCGCTTTTTGTTAGTCGTCGGGCAGTAATCTTTTACTTTAAACAACATCTCCTCATAAACCGCTAAGCCAATTTCATCCAAACTTCACAGGGATGTTCCTTTGGTAGTCAACTTTAAAAATTATTCAAAGAATTAAATTCCATGCAAAACTCTGGTTGCCATGGCAACCAAAAGAAAAAACTTAAAAAATCTTCTTTAAAAAAAAACGAGAGCTAGAGCTTAAATATTTGGCATGAAACATTGTCAAGTCAGTGTCTACCAAGTTTTGTTCAAATAAAAGCCCTAGGGTCAAAATTGGCCCCGCTCTGGGGGGGGGATCATTGAATTTTCTTATTTGTATATAGTAAAAACTTAAAAAATTTCTTTTAAAAAACCAAAATAGCTAGAGCAAAAAATGAGTCAATTAAGCAT